AAAAAAAAATGCTTGGCTCAAGTATGAACTCAATAGCAAAATTGTTGATTTAGTCAGGCATGATGGTGCACACCTTTAATCCTAGCACTCAGAGAAGCAAGAGAGGCAGGTGGATCTCTCTGAGTTAAGTTCAAGGTTAGCCTGGCCTACATAGAAAGCTCTGGGCCAGCCAGGGCTACATAGTGAGAGTGAGTCTCAGAAACAAAGAGAACATCAACAATAGAAAACAACCTGAAGCTGTGTTAATTTGATGCTCATTTGTTGTCTGGGGGGGGGGGGGAGCTTCAGCAAACTCCTAAAGTCCCATCTGCTCTACCTGCTTCCCGGGAGACTGGCAGCCCCTCCCCCACCCCACCTTCCAAAAAAATACGAACAGGTACTGAAGGCTAAGGAAGAAGGGCTCAGAAAAGATCACAGAGAGTAGCCTAAAGGTGAAGCAGGTTGAAGGGAGGTGTGCCCAGAGATCAAGAGTGATGGGCATCCGTGCTCACCAGGCCAGCTGGGTTCTAGAAAACAAAGGTTTGGGCATGGGAGGGAGTTGCAGCCTAGGTTTTTGGTTGTTTTTTTTTTTTTTTTTTTTACCTCCTAAGGAAGTCTGTGTCCTACTCAGCTGAGAGATTCTAGAGGTAATCTGGATCATTCAGGTAAAATTCCACAGAGAGTCTGATAGTCAGATGGACCTCAGCTCTGACGTGGCACCGGAGTTTCTTGCTTTTCTGCTCCTCTCTGCTTTCTCTTCAGGTTCTCCTACACTCAGTATGAGCAGCCTAGATTCTCTACACTCTTCCCAGCCTGACCCACTTGGTTCCCCCAATTCTAGGGCCAGGGAAGCTGGACGCTGGCAGCTCATGGCTCCCTGCCTTGGCAGCACCCAGAGGGGTCACTTTGAATGCAAAACAAAGGAGTCCAATCCTTGCAAACCCACCACTGGCCTGTGGCCCCTCTGTGGGTCCGCCTTGGTGGTGTCTTCCTCAGCTTTTCAAGACAGACCCACCCTGACCAGGTCAGAGACAAACTAGAGCTGGAAGCTCTTCTAAGTTGCTCCCTTCCCAGAGAGCTGGGGAGTGATCAGGTGGTGAAACAGCCGGAGGACTCTTTTGAAACGAGGAGAGAGAGAAAACACACAAAGAAGAGGAGAAAAGAAAGAAGAGGGGAGGACAGAGCACCATTTGCCCCACCTAGGAAGCTTGGCACTCCGCTGGCTTTCCTCGGTTGGATGGGTTGGGCTGGGGGACCTCACTAAGGTGACCCAGGTCGGTGGGTGCCCCCTGCCAGAATATCGTGGACCCCTTCTCCTGGACTACTCTTAATCCCGCTCTCTCAGCCCTTCCTTCACAGGAAGGAGGGGGGAGATGAGAGAGAAGAAAAGAGGTGGGGAAGGTGAGTCAGGCCCATCTGCCAGATGTGCCAGGAGCTAGGCTGGGGGAGGGGACTAGGGCTCGGGGAAGACACCCTTCTTCACCTCTGTATAGCTCTCCTTCTCTCTCATTGTACAAGTAACGGTAGGACAGCCCCAGTGGGCTAGGTCTTCCTCAGCCTCCAGCCACAGCTTAGGGAGACCTTTGGGAAGCCTCTCCAGAGCAGGAGGTGAAGTGTGTGTATCTCTTGTCCCCAACTTGTAATCCACAGCAGTTTGTTCCTGTGTAGGCTGTCACATTGACGTAGTCCCAGTGAGCTTTCCTTACAAGTATGCCTTTCCCAAGGGTCAAGCCCCTAAGCCAATCTCACTGGTGCTGCCTGTAGTACCTTCCACTGGCTCCTCGGAACCTTGAGTGAGGACGTACTGGCTCACTCCTGGTTTGGACTCAGACCATTGTTCTCACCAAAGCCACCCCTGTTCCAGGGCAAAGTCCTGACTCTAGCTCCCAGGGTCCTTGGCTCCTCTTTTTATTTTTATTTTTTGCCCATATGCAGAGTAATCCTAAATCCAAATTACTAGAGAAGCCTATTTATACTAAGCCCCTCTCCTCTTATCTCCCTATCTTGAGCGTTGCCCAAGGCCTATGCTAGTGACGAGGAATTATGGCTTCTCCAGGAAGGGGAGCCAGAGAGTGGGTTCAACAAGCCAATGAAAGGTTTGGGCAAGCCTTTCCTCTCACTCGCCTGTTTTCCTCTTGGTCCCATGGCTCTCTGGAGGGGATAGGGGCATGGAATAACCTTCTATCTTCTCAAGATGGATGCACAACATTCTTGTCATGGGATTCATCCCACCATAGACAGGCATCTCTCTGAGTCCCGGGGCCACAGCCTTGAGAGTCCTGGTCAAAGGGGCCCAGCAGACAACCAGCTGTGGAAAGCTCCTCTGGGCCATGTCCCTGCTCCTCTTGTCACTGTGTTTCCTGGAATGCTTCCTGCATCTCCTCATATTGTCATAACTGCTTTGAGGAGGATAGCTGTTCTGTTTATTTCTGTGCCTCTAATGTCCTTCACGCCTCTAATGTCCTTCATGGTCAGGGGACACATAGGTTAGGACCTTGAAGGCATGCACACTCATGTCTATTCCAAGAGATAACAACTTTGGGACAGTGCTGTGATCCAAGATGGAGGGATGTTGTTTCTAACATTTGAGCTCATCCAAGATCCCCTAGGCAATGCTGCTTTCCTGAGCTCTCTATCGGGAGACCCTTTCCACTCTTCCAGAGCTCACCTCATACCAAATAGGGTCTGTGTGGTCGCCGCACTACAACGGAAGTTGGCTGCAAAACTCAGCATTCACCTTCAGCCTTCCTCAGCCCTATCTACCGCATAACTTTGCAGGAACCAGAGCTCTTTATCCACAAGGAACTCTCCTGAGTGACCACAGGTGCCAGAAACAGATTTGCCATGTATGTTGGCTGGGATGGGTAGGTCAACCCTGCTGTTGCCCCCTTTCTAACTTCAGGGGTCCCGACGGGAGACCTGTCTTATTCCAGGTTGTTGAGGGTGAGTTTCTTGCAGAGATCTCGTGTACCAGTTACGCCGCTTCCCACCAGCAAGCCCTCCCCTGACCCTCTGCCCCCGACACCTGCAGCTAGGCATGCTGCCCTAGGGTTACACTTGGGCATTGTGAGTACCAGTGTCTAGTCCTCATCGTCCCTGGACAGCCCAAACCCAGGAACCCCAGTCATTCCCAATGTCCCGTGCCAGCTACCTTGTCCCAGTCCACCACTTTGAACTGTGGCTCAGTACCAGGGTCTGTCTTCTGAGTCTCTGTAGAGGCTACAGCACCATTCTCCATGGGATCCTAGAAAGAGAAGAGACAAACTTATTCAAAGGATGAAGGGAGAGAACGGAGCCTCAACTGCCCCACTCGAGAGAGCTGGGAATGGGAAAACCCCCCACGGGTGGGACCGGGGTGGGTGGAAACCAAGGACATTAAGTACTTTCGAGATCAGAGACACTGGTGTGGGCGTCATTATTCTTTGTGCTTCTCCCTTAGTAAACAATAATGAAAGATCTGGAAGAGTATAGCGAACTATACGGAAGAGGAGTGGCCGGGGGTGGCTGCCAGGCCTGGCAGGTGTCAGGCAAACCAAGTCACAGAGAGGCACCAAGGGCATCTGGTGGTGCTCTCCGTGCCACACCTGACGATGTCCCTCCTTCCCTTCCTCCCTGCTTGGTTACTCAACAGATTGTGTGGGTCACAGGCTGGTCCATGTGACCTCAGGAAAGAAAGGCAGCTGGGAGCCAGGGAGACTGGTCCTCCAGCAGTCCCCGTCAGTCTGTGGTCACATGTGGGGACAGAACCAGCCGAGGTGTGCCCAAGTGGGCTCAAGGTTAATTTAAACTAGCGAAGAGGTAAAGCCAGGAGGAAATGGAATGTGCTGGGAAAATCACACAGCTCCAGCTAGCCTCGACGTCACGTGGGGTGAGGCTAGAGAAAGCAGGTTTGCACGGAAGTAAAATCCATGTTTCCCTGTAGGAAGGACAGACACAGACCTTGCCAGTGGGGCCTTCCTGGGACTCTGGGCCCCCAACAACCACAATCTTCCTGGCTTTGGGAAGCCAGATAGAATTATCAGGAGGCTTAGGGGCACTGAGCATGCAGCTGGGGTTTCTCTTTTTTACTTTCCCTCATACAGAATATGTAGCCCAGATTAACCCATAAGTCACTATGCAGCCCAGACTGATCTCAAACTCCCCATTGTCTGTGTCAGCCTCCCCAGAACTGGGGTTACAGGGATGCAGCACCACGCCCAGCAGCACTGGGGTTAGCTGCTGTGCTTACATTTTTCTTTCCAATAACCCTAAGAGAATTCGATGGTGATGGTGACCATGTTGGCATTTTTTGGGGGAGAAAAAACCCAGATGCAACCCAAAAGCGAGTTTTTGAAGTCCTACCTTTGTGCATCTTTGGGTTATCAGGATAATGCCTGCTTCTTAAAATATATATCTATGGATATATGCATTTTTAATTGAGACAGAGTCTTGCTTTATATCCCAGGCTACTCTCAAAATTACCATCCTCCTATCTCGACCTCACATATGCTGCGGCTACAGCTATGAGCCACTACACACACCTTCCATACCTGAATTTCTGAAAGGTTGTTTTATTTTTTAAGTTCTAGTATTAGAATATTATCATATTTTGGTGTTTTGAGACAGGGTTTCTCTGTGTAGCCCTGGCTGCCATGGAACTCACTCTGTAGACCAGGCTGGCCTCTGCCTCCCAAGGGCTGGGATTAAAGGTGTGCTTCGCCACCGCCTTGTGAAGCTTGTTTTATTTGTAATTATGTATATGTGTGTGGGTATGTGCACATCAGTGCAGTGCCTGCAGAGGCCAGACGAGGGCATCAGATCCCCTGGAGCTGGGGAACCAAACCCAGGTCCTCTGCAAGAGCAGTGTGCACTCTTAACCATTGAGCCAACTCTCCACACCCTTCTAATTTTCTTTTTTGTTTGTGAGTGCTCTATCTGTATGTACACCTGTACGCCAGCAGAGGGCACCAGCTCTCATTATAGATGGTTGGGAGCTGTCATGTGGTTGCTGGGAATTGAACTCAGGACCTCTGGAAGAGCAGCCAATGCTCTTAACTGATGGGCTATCTCTCCAGCCCATTTTTCTTTTTAAACAAAGCATCTTAAATGCTCTCTTGAGGACCAGGAGGAGGGATCTTACAGTTCTATATATGGAAACTCCCTAAGTTTCTTCATGAGCTTCTTTCTTCTTCCTCTGTCTGCAATTCAATTATCTTTCTTGTTACTTTCAGATTGTGTATTTCCCTTCATGGTCTCATTCTAGCTCAGGCTGGCCTGGAACTTACTTGGCAGCCCAGGCTGACCTAAAACTGTTGATGCTTCTCATATATGTCTCATAGGCTCTGGAATTACAGGTGGGGGTCACCATACATGGACCTTATAACTCTGTTTTAATCTCAAAACATTCCTGAAGGCCTTAGGCACTGGGCTACCAACCCCTCTTCCCTAGATGGCTATTTTCCTCTGGTTTCTTCAGGTAATAGCTATTCTTGGTTGTCAACTTGACCAGATCTGGAATTGACTAAAACCCAAATCACTTGAGACCCAGTTCTCCCACCACCCAAGCAGCGATTGTAGCAGTTCGTGAGGTGGCGGCCAGGTAGTGCAGCTCCATGACATTGAACGTCTCCCACCCAGCTACCGTGATGCTGAAAGGGTTAGACTAACTTTGTAACCTGTATGTCTTCTAAAGCCTATAGTTTTGAGTTTTAGGCTCAGGTTAAGCTAATTTGAGTTTTAGGCTCAGGTTAAGCTAAAGCCTCTTAGTACCTTTCCAGAGAATGAAAAAATGTGACCCTATCTATCAGGACAGATAGAAAAAAAGGCAAGCAAGCAATGACCTTCACTCAGCAAAAAGAAAAACTCCTGTCTTTGAGATAGCATTTCTTAGCAACAAACCTAGACTTCTTCTGAGTAGCTTTTGACCTCCAGCCAAAAGTCTGTAGCCCCTAATCTTCAAGGATGAGCTAACCACCCCCGCCTTCAATTGCAGCTGCATCCACACTTGGCAGGACTGGCCAAGCTTGAGCACCTAAGACTAGCCAATATCTTACTTTATAGCTTCCTCATCCAATCCTAAATTGCCAATACTGCAACTTCAAATCTCCCGCAATTTTTCTTTTAAAAACCTAAAGGCCTTTGTCTCCGTGTACCACTTTTTGCTGACCAGCAGGGGTGACCCCATTGCGCAATAGTTAATAAACCTCTTGCTTTTGCAACGAGTCTTGGTCTGGGGGAGTTTCTGGGAAGGGCGCGATCTTGAACTCCTGAGCTGTGAGACCCCAGGTCTTACAATGCCAGGAGGAAAGTTGGTGTGCGTGAAGCACCCAAACTCACCCCTGGCAAGGTGGACACGAAGCCGAAAAGGCCATCATCAGAGGGAAAAAATGTGCAAACAGGAGGGAGGAGGGGAGCAAAGGACAAAGAGGCTGAAGTGGCTGACCAGGAAACTGCAGCTCTGCCTGCAGAGAAACGGAGAAACAGAAAGCCAGAGTCCCCTGAAGGAGAAGAGAGAGCAGCCAGGTCCGGCTAACTGTCCATCATGTCTGTCAGTGGTCCCTGCCTCCCTTCTTGTGCAACCCAGAGGAATATTTTTATTAATTATTTTATGAATTAGAGTTTTTTTTTTTTTAGTAGCTCTAGAAACATTTTTAAAAGGTGGGGGAAGTCCACCATATTCCATTTTTAAGGATTTTTTTTTTTAAAGAGGGTACATCATTTTCTGGTTGTTTGTTTGTTTGTTTATTTATTTTTGTAGTACAACCAGAAAATAGCAGGATAATCAATCGGGATAGGCTGTGACTGTGTGTAGAGGGGGCTAGTTTCAGATCCTACGACACAAAGCAAAATAAATGGCAGTTTGGAGTCTCACTCGTCCATTTGTGCCTGGAAGTTTTTCAGTCATATCTGGTCTCGTGTTTCTAGTAGAACCATTTCCTAAGAAAACCACTCCTTGCTCCTAGCCCCGTCGGAACCATGATGTCTCTGGCCACGGCGGTCCACTTTCCTAACAATTGTGACAGTGTGCTGTGAAAGATGGAAATTTTGAGTATGTACTGTGTGTGCATAAAATTTTGTGAGTTGGTGGAACTGAGGCTTACGAACATTTTGTTGTTATGTGAGGTCTTAAAGAAAGCTTGCTAAGTTTGAGGCTGGATCGTCACTGGAATAAGGTCAAAGAGAAACAACATGAGACCCTTCATTTGGGCATGTGAACACAGTGTGTGTGACTCTTCAGAGTTTGGGTACGTGTGTTATAAATGGAAATGTCTGTGCGTTCTGCTCCTTGACCAATAATATCTCAGCTGTAAAAACATAAACATTTAAAGTAGGAAGACTCACTTCTAATCACGGTCTTTGTAGGAAGATCCACCTTTAATCCAAAGTGTGTGGGAAGACACACTCTTAATCTGAACCACACAAGATTGGCATCCTATACAAGGTCATGGAAGAAGGACTTTCTCTCTCTCTTTCTCTCTCTCTCTCTCTCCTTGCCTACTTGCTCTTACATGTAGAACCAAGCAGATCTTGTACCCATCTCTCATGAACCCTTTTCCTGACTATGGGAACTAAGCAAATGTCAAAGCTTTTGGCCACCACTCTATCAGCTCATTCCCTCAGTTTATTGGACCCTGGAGCCTATTTTTAGTGACTACTGTTGTTGGCATGGGGCTTCGGGGTATGTATGGTCTATACTGAAAATATGATTCATTATATGTCACATATATTTATAACTATAGAGATTGTATAATTACATATACTATATAAATGTATAAAGTATAAAATTATATAGAGATTGTAATGGTTAACCTTCATTGTCAGCATCTCTAGATTTAGTCTTACCATGAGAACACGTCTCTGGGGTTGTCTATGAGAGTGTTTTCAGAAATCTAACAGTCAGGGATACATGACTTTCTGACACTGCAACATGATCTTGTCATTTGAAAATGTGTTAGGCTAAATTCACAGCTTTCTTGGGACCTCAGACTATAGGCTGGACACACCTGGGTTTAATTAAAGAGAGAAACCTCACTCTGAATATGGTGGCCCCATCCTAAGATGACAGGGTGACAGAATGAATAAAAAGGAGAGAGTAGAGCAGTCATCTTCTTCTGCTTCCTGATGGCAGACACAGGTTGACCAGTTGCCTCTAGCCATCACCAGTATGCCTTCTTTGCCATGGTGAACCAAAACAAGTTCCCCCTCTTTTGCGTTGCCTTTTGTCAGATGTTTTTCACAGCAAAGAGAAAAGTAACTAACACAGGG